GGCTCCAGAGGGCTGGCCAGCCCTAGTTAGAGTGGATCAGAAGACTCCAAGAGAAATTTTGCCAAGAAAAGGGAATGTTCAGAAAAGATCTCCCTTCTGAATGCCTTTAGAGGAGATTGAGATGATTGGCAGAGGGTTGGTGTCATATTTACTAATAAATACATAGAAAACTAAGCAAAAGCAGTGATTAAATCTAGGAAAGACAATAAAAAATGTGCAAAAAGGGAAAACTAACCATAGTCTATTTCATGATTCAGCTCTGAGTAACACATTCAGCCATGATAATGGAAACACTGTATAGTGACTGGACTGAAATCATTAGGTAACTGTACTAGGAGGGCAGAGGAAGGGGGAGTTATGGGCAGGGTGGGTATGGGAGAGGCAAGGAGCCTCTTCTCTGGGGGGTGGGGGTGTGGGAACAGAAGTCAAAGGCTGAGTTATCAAGAAGGGGCTGAAAATGGTTGCCTCCAGAGAAGGGAAATGGGGGAGGACAGTCCCCATAGGGCAACTTGATTCTCAGCCTGCATAAAAAATTTATTTAAATACTATATAGTGGTGGTTTAGTCACTAAGTTGTGTTGGACTCTTGCAACCCCATGGGCTGTAGCCTGCCAGGCTCCTCTGTCCATGGGATTCTCCAGGCAAGAACACTGGTGTGGTTGCCGTTTCCTTCTTCAATGTGTGTGTGTGTGTGTGTGTGTGTGTGTGTGTAATTTTTAATTAAAAAAACCCAATCCCATCCTTGTCCCTCCCACTCTGGTGGTTTCTGGAGAGGCTGAATAACCACTAGGGCTTCTCATTGTCCATAGCCTTGGGAGTGAGTTCATTGCAAGCTATTCTAAGCTTCCCTGGTGGCTCAGATGGTAAAGAATCTGCCTGCAATGCGGGAGACCTGGGTTCAATCCCTGGGTCGGGAGGGTATCCTCCCTTGGAGAAGGGAATGGCAGCCCACTTCAGTACTCTTGCCTGGGAAATCCCATGAACAGGGGAGCCTGGTGGCAGTCCATAGTGTCACAAAAAGTCGGACACAACTGAGCGACTAACACACACACATATTCTAAGCAAATGGGCTCAGCCTATAGCAGGCCTCTGACAGGCTCAGAAATACCTGGGCTAGATGGAAACCGAGTTGGAGCTGAAACCTCAGAAGCCACATCTGGAGCAACTCCTGACACCTCAGGTGTGTTCCCAAACCTCAAGGTGCTTCTACAGATCTGATGCTGCAATAAAACGTGGGGATCAGGCCAGACCACCTGCCTGGAGGAACCCCAGAAAGGGAGATGGAAAGAGGCCGGAGGTATGCGGTAGCCCTGTTCATTAGGGGAGCTTCTGCCAGACTCCCCCCGGGACACCCCAAGATCTTCCCCCAGGTCTTGCTGCTGGCTGTCCTAGTCTCGGAAGCTAGACACCCACGTGGGTCACACCATGCCAGTACTCATCAGTGTTTATAGAAAGCAAGATCGTTATTTATAAGAACAGAAACATTGAGCTAATTCATGTTTAAATACACCAAACAGAGCGGCAGACAAAAAAAACCCAGAAACTTCTGGGTAGAAGGGGGCAGTGAGCCCCGGCTTAGCAGGGCCTTCCTGTGTCCCTGCTGGACTTTGCAGCTCAGGCTGCTCTTGCCCTGCCCTCCACGATGGGCAGACCCTTCCCAATGTTAGCCAACCTCCTTTTTCCACGAGTGTATCCAAGTTAGGAAAACAGAACTTTCTTTCCAGATCACTCAAGACCCTGAGCCAAGTAATACCGGTACCCAGAGCTCCCTTGGGCCCTGTTCTTCAAGCTTTTCCAGAGAAGTGTTCTGCACAGGGTGAGTCACCCAGCTCCCACCCTTCAGACCACAGAGGACACGGGGATACTTGGGTCCCCACCTCCCATCAAACCTCTCCTCGCTTCTTTTGGGAACTCAGTTTTCTGCTTCAATCAAGATCAGAAAGGCACAGAGAGAAACTTGAGTCCTGGATCTTAGTCCCCCAAAGCTAGTCTGAGGACCAGGAGTGATCAGTGACAATGTTCTTGACAACCAGGAACAGAGGGAGAGAAATAAAATTAAAAAGGGACGTTTATGGAAAGAACGGTTGTTGCTTCTGGGATTAGATCCTTCTTACATTTTTGTTCTAAAATTAATATCTTTACAAAGTGAAATGATGATTGTGGATGACAAGTTTTCTTAAGTCCTTACTTGACAAAATTGGAAAGTTAACATCTCTAACTAGTCCTTCCACAAAATAATAACTTTGGGAGGGGGAGCAGATTTCACTGTACTATGAACATGCAGAGTTTGGGACATACTACGGTAGATGACCCAAAGAAGAGTAAGACCAAGCTCTGGGTCAGAAACAGAACCACAGACTCAGAGGGTGAGAAGGGCACAAATGCATGCGGTCCAGCGGCCACTGACACCTAAGCGTGTGCCAGAACACCACAGCTAAGAGCTTGGCCCGCTTCCGCTTGGTGCCCTTCAGTGACAGGGAGCTCACTTCCTCTGTGTACAGCTCTGATGATTACAAAGTGCTTACTTTGTATTGTGGAGAAGCCTTCGACCTTGGACCCAGGCCTACACTTGGGAGCCCCTAGAAGCAGCCCTTTCACCTGCAGAAAAACAGCTCCATTCTGCACCCTTTGCCTCCCAGTCTTCTTTGACTTCTATTTGCTTCCCCTCACCACCAGTCATTCCTCTTGTGAAGTGACTTCTTGAGATCACTTGCCTGGCAAGTGAGTTCAAAGCCAGCTCTTCTGCTCCTGGCCCTGTGCCCTGCGCCCTAGCTATCTCCATGTGGCAAGGGCTCAGCTGTCCTCAATTCAGGAGATGGTACTAGCTGTTCAGAAACAGTTGGAAAGGCAACAAAGAATCCAAAATTGGGGTGGGGGGGGAAGCAATATATAAAAAAAGTCAATGTGATCCCAATAAAAACGTATAGATCCACATTAAAAATGAAAGTATGCAAGGAAACAAGGCAAGATGGTCATGATGGTCATTCTTTAAGGCAGGCTACCTGATGATTTTTACCACACTTTTGCTTTTCTCTCTGTGCTTTCCAATTTTTCTGTGATGATGTGGTTTTTTTTTTTTTTAGGATAGAATAAAATAATGACCATTTAGAAGGATGAAATAAGAAATGTCAAATTAAAGTAATCACATCCCAAGACACCCCCCACCCCGACTCAGTTCCCAGCCACTGTTCTGTGAGCAAGCTCCTGGGGCTCTTGGGCCCTGGGCGGTGGTCTGCCCCCAGACCCTCACGCATTGCAGCACTTTACAGCAGTCTCACATTCTTGCTGCATCAGTGCCCAGCCCTTGACTGCCAGATGACGAGCCTGAGGTCAAGTAGACCCCAGACCACCCGGGGTCGTGGCCAATGTGCTCCTGTCATCTGCCCCTCCTCCGTTTTCTCCAGCCTTGGAGCTCCAGCCCAGCCCCCAGGTGGAAGAAAAGAGAGGATGGGGAACAAAACAGAGGGTGCAGAGGACCATGGCTCATCCCTGCCAGGTCTGTTACATGTACAGGGAGTGCATATTGTAAAGACAGGAGATTAAACTTAGAGGAGAGATGTGTCATCCATGGAGTGTGACGGAGCTGGGCCTGGACCCAGCCCTCTGATCCAGTCCAGTGCTTGCTCCTCTGGGGCTCAGATCAGAGCCCCTAGGTGTGACTGTGGTGTGCTGGGTCCATGCAGAGTGCTGGGGCCACGGGTCACACAACACCCTCTGTGCCAGCCCTCCAGGGTGGGTCTTTGCCAACTGCTCCCTAGGGCGCCTGGCAGTCCCAGGCACATGTCAGAGCCAAGCCCTGATTAGAAGTGGAGGCCTGGCCCAGGGGTCAGAATCCTGTCTGACTTCCAGGTTCTGCAGTGTCACGTGGCCCTGCATGAGTTGTTCCCCTGTTGGGGACTCAGTTATCCAAAGGATAAAATCAGAGTGGAGCATTTGACACCGATTAGACCGGCAGTTTACAAGTCTTTTTATTCCCCCAAGCCTAGCATTTGGGTACTCTGGGACTGACCTGTGACACTGTCCCCCATGCGGGAGGACAGGGCAGAAGCTCCCCATTCAGTTTGGCCTTTGGGTGCCCCTCACCCTGGCTCCCTGTGTGGATAGTCTAGGTCTTAGAGAGATGTTCCCCACCTCAAGTAGGAGTGTTTGTGGGTGTGGGGATGTGCAGGGCTGTGTCTGTGTGAGTCAGGGCTCCCAAGAGGACAGGGTCCCCATTTTGTAGTTGGGACATTTTCTAGGGATGTCACCTTGTTGAGGATTCTGCTCTCAGCTCACCTCATCCCCTCCCCCTCCCTCTTCCCAGCTGTTGGTTTCCTTGTCTTCTAGGCTCCAGTCTATTGCAAGCCCCAGGCTCTGTGTTCCTTCTCTGTTTCTGCCCTAGAACTGGTCTGTCACTGGGGAGGGGCTGCCCCTTTCCCCTCCCCCCAACCCCTCTGCGGTCTCTTCCTCAGGATCCCTCCAACCCCCACTCCCATCCCTGCACCCACCTCCCGGGGCCCTTTTTAAAGAGGTGCCCACAGCTCTCAGGGCCAGTTTTGTTTCAGACAGAAATGAAGATGGACTTTCATTGTACAATGACACTTTCAAACCATTATTCTGCTGAGACCCAAATGAAAAATCAGCAAGTCTGACACCGCTGTGATTTGTTCATTTGACGCTGCCTCTTTGCACAAAGTTTAATTAAAATTTCAGGAGTGATTAGGGAGCCCTTTATTGTGCACCTCTGGGCTCTTCCAGGCGCCCTGGGGGAAGGGCAGGGTCTTTTTACAACAGAAGCCAGTGCTCAAGGATGGTCCCTAGGAGATTGGCAGTGGGGGGCACTGACTACTGGAGCAAAGCACAGCCTGTCGGGGTACACGGGTCTCAGGGAGCACACGGGATCCCAGCCACCCCGCACCTCCACCCATTCCACAGGTGAGCACACTGAGACCAGGTTTTCCGGAGACTCAGTAGATCGCGGCGACACCGCCCCATCCCTTCCACCCCGCCCCCTGGACTCACCCTCAGGGCTGGCAGGGAGCTGACTTGGTCCACGGTCAGCGTGGCCTCCTTGTAGTACTTCCCGGGGGGACAGAGCTTCAGGAAGGAGTCGTGGATGCTGAGAAGAGAGGCAGGGGTGGGCTGAGGGTGGGGACCAGCGGGTCCCTTTGGAGGATTGATTGACACACATTTGGTAGTTATAAATCATCCTGCCCTTCCAGAAACATGCCTGGGGCTCCAGTGTGCCCAGCGCATGCGCTGTGGGGGATGCAAAGATAAGCCAATATACTCTGTAGCCTAAACGTAATCTACAAGTGCACTGGAAAGGACTTCTGCCCTCCCTTCCTTCAGTCCCTCCTTTACGAATGGAGGAACCAGCAGGGCCTTGGGGAAGCCAGGATGCCACCCCAAGCCATCTGTCCAGCCCCACCCTCGTCCCAGGGAAAAGAGGTCACTCCATGGGTGTGGCCAAGCAGCCAGCAAACCACACAGCCATCCGAGGCCAGTGAGCTGGATCCAGACGATGGGACTGAACAACTGTCCTCATCGATCCAGTAATCAATGTCTGTCTGCGGGCCTCCTCCCTGCTCCAGGGGATTTGGCTTGTGAGGGACAGGCAGGCAGAGGAGGGAATGAATGGCTGTGTTGGCGCTGCGAGGCAGAGGGTAGGAGGGAACTCTGCCCCAGGCCAGGAGAGCAGGGTCCTCTTGCTGGAGCCTTCCCCACCCACATTCTGGAGCATGGACCATGTTAACCTTGTAAGGGGTTGGGGAGGGAGCTGAAAAGTGGGGTGTAGAATGGGTCAAGGGAGATAGTCTCCAGGAAAAGATGGGGTGGGGACACTGAAGGACAGCGAGGAGAGAGGAAAGCCATCATACCCAAGTGGGGGTGGGGTGGGATGTCCAGTGGCCTCCAGGGGAGGGGGCGCTGGCAGTGGTCTGCCCCTAGCCCCGAGGAGCATTTGATCACTGTCATTGTTAGATTTGCTAGGGTGGGGTGATAAAAAAGCAGACTGACTTTCAGTATGTTTTATTAATTTTAAAGAATTATCTGAGGCCAGGCACCTGTATGGTTGACACCCTCTGGCCCCCCTCACTAGGAGTACCCGCTTCACGCTGCCAACTTGTGTGGACATTTCTGGTGGAACCTACAGAACCACCTTGCAAGGAAGGGACCATTATCTCTTCCTTACAGAGAAGGAAACTGAGACTCAAGGAGGTAAAATACTCGCCTTGCCTAAGGTCACACAGGGGTGAGCATGAAGCCAGAGCTGCAGATGCCAGAGCTCTTTCCCCAGGAGCCCAGAGAGGGAGGTCTCAGAAGGGCTGTGGGTGGGGGAAGGGGGGTTGGGGGGTGGGAAGAGAGGGAACCCCTGCTGTTGTTGTCACTGGCTTCTTGTTTTTTAAGCTCTGTGTGCCTGGTGCATTCAACCATATTATCTCAATGAATCTTCCCAGCAACCCTGTGGGATAGATATAGGGGTGATGATGTCTACACATGCGGAGACCAAGGCTCAGAGAGTTGAAGGGGTCTGCCTCAGGTCATTCAGCTTGGAAGGGGTCAAGGGGGTTCTGAACCCTAAGCCAGGCTCCTCGGGCTGTGCTGCCCACCTCTAAAAGGTCCCAGGTGAAAGACTCTCAGCACCCCCTCCCTGCCCTGGAGAGCCTTCTCGGGAGGGGGTACCGTGGGGAGGGCCCTGCCCAGACTTCGTGTCTTCCCAGGCCGCCGAGTGGGTGGGCTGCCCGCAGATGAATCGTGGCTGCTGCTCGGCTTGCCACAAAATGTTCTCCTCCAAATATGGATCAGCTGGCTCTAAGTGGAACTCGGAATTAATCACTAATGGACTCAAAAGTCAAAGCCATTTGAAAAGCTCACACATCTTGCCTGCCAGAAAGCAAGCAGCCCAAGCTGCATCTCCCTTCCACACCTAGCCAGACGAGGGGAGGGGCTGTCTGCGGGCGGGGAGGCTGAGACAGGGGGAGACCAGCTCCTCTGCTCTGACTCTTCAGGACCTTGAATCTGCCGCGTCCCCTCTGTACAGTGAATCTCAGCTAGCTCCCTCCATCCTCCACTTCGGGAATTCTGTACCCTTCTCTGCATCCTGTCCATCCCTTGCCTCTGAGACCCTCCAGTTTAGCCTTTTTCGACTGGGTGGTCCCACATCAGAAGCACACAGGGAGCTGATGAAAGGATCAGCTCTAGAGAGTCTCATTCAAGGCTAGTGTCAGCCCAGGCACCTATAGGTTCTGCACGCTTCTGTGTTTGTATTGTACAGGAAGGACTGAGAACACAGCTCCAGTGAAAGTCTCCAATTATACCCCTTCCATCCCAGTCTGGGCTCCCCGACCTGGGCTTCACCCCCATTACATGGGGTCAATTGTCCCTTTCAACACGGAATGGCCTGCAGGTATTTTATGAATGGCCTCATCTCTAGCCTGGAAAGATGGCTAACTTTTGGTTCTATGATCTACTGGTTCCAAGCTGTGTGACTTTGGGCAAATAGCTTCATTTCTTTGAGCTGGTTTCCTCATTCACAAAAAGGAGATGAAAATACCATGAAAATGACAGCTACCACAGTCTCAGCACAGACCACTGTGCCAGGCACTGCTTTAATTCCTATGCAAATCTGATCATCTAACTGACCTAATAACAATTAGGTTGAATACATACTTTTTGTATGTGTGAAAACTGGGGCTCAGCGAGGGTAAGAAACTCACTCAAGGTCACACAGCAAGTAAGTGAAAAAGTTGAGCCTCAGACTCTGGCCTTTGACTTCTAGGAAGCAAGCCTCTGCCTGCTGACCTTCTGGCACTCCAGGTGGACCAGGAGCTAACAGCCAGGACAGGGCATGGAGACGGGCAAGTTTGGGGACCTCAAGGCTGCTCAGAGGATCCAGGGGCCCAATGGTCAGATTAGCCTTAGCAGGAACTGGGGCAAAGCTTCAGGATACCATTTACCAGACCTACAACCAGCCCAAGATCCTGTCAGGAGCCATCCCTGAGCAATGTAATGTACCCTGAAATTGCTCAGACTGAGTCAGGCTGACCCAGGCTCTGCCATGGAGATCTAAAGGAAGCCACATGTGCCCTTTCTGAGTCAGGTCCCAGACTCAGGGTCCAGAGCCTCAGGTGAAGAAGATAAGGGCCCCAAAGGGCTTGTGCACTGATCCCATAGAGACATCTGGAAGGCAGGGGCAATTTAACAGCAATTTAACCAGAGTCAGAGAGGGCTAACCTGGAAGCTGAGGACGAAGGGGACCCTGCTCTTTCAGAGACCAACGGGATGTGAAAGAAGACTCCCACAGGTTAGACATTTAGGGTGGACAGACCCCTTCTTAGAGAGCTGAGTCAAGGCAGCCCTAGATGAGGAAGAAGCTGTCACATGTGGTCTGCCCCTCCCATTAGGTGTCATCTGCGGATCCAGTGACCAGGCCTTTTTGTCCCATGCAAGTCACAGATAAGAAGGTGGGAAAGTGTTAGACAAGGGCAGAGCCACCCTGCTCCCTTGTTTATCAGTCTCTTGGATACTTTTTTTTTCAACTGGCTAAATCCATCCAGATGTACTCTCATCCAAGCCACATTTCTTTGTCACGTTCGTAGGAAAATCACAACACGGTGTCAGAGGTGATGTTGGAAACTTGTTCAGAAGTGAGCAGGGCTTAGTTTGGCTCAATTTAGCCCTGGCAGCCCTGGGTGTCTGCTCTCTCCCCTGAGCATCACGTGCCATCTGCCCCCTGAGCCACAGCCAATGTTGCTGGGAACCCATATCAAAGCTGCCCCTTCCCTTTACAAACAAGGCATCGACACTAACCCTAACGTAATCCGTGCTCCTGACCCTCCAAGAAGTTAACCTAGGATCATCTTATATGTGTGCGTGTATCCTTCCTAAGATATTCGGTGTGTATGTACATATGCATGCATGTATAGCCCTTTATTTTACTAAAAGTAAAATATGTACCAGTCTAGTTTACCAAAGTAAGAGTGAAATAGGTTTTTAAAAGCCAACAGCACTATAATTAATATTATTAATACACAGTATTCTATACCACCTCTTTACCCCTGATCTCTAGAGGCTGAATTTTTTTAAAAAAATGTTTTTCTATTTCTCTTGGTTTTTCCTTAATATTTGCATAGTATTTCTAGAGATGGTGCTGATACTGCCACTTGGTATTTTTTCATTGCAGACTTTTATTTTGTGACCTCTTATTGTTAAGAAAGAGAGAATTTATCTCTACCTATAATCTACTTCAGGCTTCCTTGGTGGCTCAGGTGGTGAAGAGTCTGCCTACAAATTGGGAGACCTTGGTTCAGTCCCTGGATTGAGAAGATCCCCTTGAGGAGGGCATAGCAACCCACGCCAGTATTCTTGCCTGGAGAATACCCATGAACAGAGGAGCCTGGTAGGCTACAGTCCATAGAGTTGCAAAGAGTCAGACACGACTGAGTGACTCAGCACAGCACATATATACTACTTCTTCCCCTAATATCTCAATATAAAATGATTTTCCTGATTAAACAGTCTGTCTGCTGATGGGTGAGGCTGTATGCCTACCCTTTTGATTGTTTGGCCTGAGGCTTCCCAGCATTGGCGCCTACAGGCTTTTGGGTGGAGACAAGTCTTGGTGAGAAAATGGCAGCCTTCCAGACGGCTCGTGCCAATGAAAACTCCCCAGAACTACCACTGCCAGCGTCCCTGTCCCCACAGTGAGCCACAGCCATCACCCCCACCTCCACGGTAGACCCTCCAATACTAGCAGGTGTAAAGGGCAGAGTTTTTGATCAGAACAAGACTCCATTATCCAATGTAACTGTAGAAGTCCAAGACAGAAAACATATCTGCCCCTATAGAACCAACAGATTTGGAGAGTATTACCTCCTCCTCTTGCCTGGATCCTATGTAATAGAGGTTACAGTCCCTGGACATGACCCACATCTCATAGAGGTGACTATTCCCCCCAAATCCCACAACTTCAGTGCTCTCAAAAAGGATATTTTACTTCCATTCAGAGGGCAATCGTATCATATCTCAGAATTAAATCCTTTATGTCCCAGGATTCCTCTTTACAGGGAACTGGAAGGCCACTCAGCTGCAACAAAACCCAGTCTGTTCTTATTTTTA